GTGCACAGAAACGCATCTCTGACCCTTGACACTAACCAGAGAATAGGCCTGTGAATGGAGCAGTTCAGATCAACAATATGGCTTCTGGAAGTCTGGCATCCAGGGTGATTTAGACAAAGCTGCCTGTAAAGGCTTATTATATCCAGCACCCTCTCTTACCCTGGCTGTAGAGCCCAGAGCAGTTCTTTAGAGCCAGCCAGTCAGGGGAGGCAGCCTATCCATGTGCCGCCAGCCACTTGATCTCTTAGGTGCCACAAAGTTCTTGGCTATTGCAACAGCAGCTGTGTCAACCCAGCAATCTCCCTCAACAGCTGTTTTTCAATAAACCTTTTGACCAAATGCAGCTGTTCTTTAAAGTAGGCGCATTGGCCAGCTTATTTTTCTCCCGTGAATGCTTATCTGAGCTGACTCCTTAGCAGCTGTCACTCACTGTCAAAGTAGTCTTTCATACCGCCAACCAGATCTGGCATTCCAGATCAATGAGTGGGCAGTGGAAGCTTGCACGCCCCTGTGGTCCAAGTCACCCACAGCTGTTGCATTGATCCCTGGAGGAGACATTTGCGCCTGCGCAGAAGGGAGGGGCGTTGGCTCCTCTGGCTGTCGGTTACAGACCGCTAAAATGAGGACTTAACACCACATGACTAAGAAAACCCTCTCCATGGGAATTTTATGTAAGTAATTTCCCATACTCACGAATATACTGAGAAAAAGACTTGGGCAATAGAAGCCCTGAGCACTCGTAATTGAGTTGATGACAGAGTTTCCTGGAGGGGCAGAGGACGGTGCATATTTAATTTGCAATTTGAAAATTATGACCCCAGAATATATATATATATTTTAATTTAACAATGAAGAAGTGGAGGGTTGGCTGAGCAGCTGTGAGCCTTGCAGCTCTTGGAGAGGACTGGAGTTCAGATCCCAGAACCCACTGCAAGCAGCTCTCAACCACCTTCTGACTCCAGCTTCAGGGATCTGACTCCCTCTTCTGGCTACTGCAGGCACCTACACTCATGTGCATATACTCCCAGGCAGAAATACATTAAGTACACATACCTACACATAAAAATAAAGATTTTTTTAATTAATAATATTCAGCAAAAGAAAAACAACCCACCCATAAAATAACCAAAGACATCTCTTTCAGCAATAAGAAGATAAAGTGTAGTCAGTTATCCCAGGAAGAGATGTTTGACAGTGTTAGTCATTAGGGAAATGCTGATGGAAACCACAGTGAGTTCTCTTTACTACTATTGAGCAGTAACTTTGTAAAACAAAACAAAACAAAAAAAAACAAGCAAAAAAGTGATGACACTAAATACTACTGAAGGGAATGTAAAACATACAGTCCTTCTGAAAATAAAACCCGACAGCTCATTTAGCATTTGATTCAGGATTTGGCATTCTCAGGCATTCATCTCAAAGAAAAGAAAATTCACACAAAAACTTATGTTCAAATGTTTATGGAAGTGTTTTGCATTGTAGCAAAATGTTGAAAGAACTTGAATGCCATTCTATGGGTGAATGAACACACCCTGGTATGTCCACATATCAGATCCTTAGTCAGTAATGAAAAGAAATGAATTATTAATGCAGAAGACACCCTGAAGGGAACCCAAGGGCAGTATGTGCAGTAAAAAAATCAATCTGAAAATATTATACTTTAATATTCCAAATAATGTCTCATAGTGGTGCTAATCTAGAAATGGAGGGAAGGTTAATGGTTGCAGAGGAATTGTGAATGCTCAAGGGTCAGTAGCAAATGCTTTTATTGGTAATTACTTATATATGTAAATTGTGGTATTTGAAATTTTATCATTATTGTGCATGTGTTTATGTGCATAAGCACACACATGTGACATGGCTGACTTAGGATGTTTTTGCTTGTTTGTGTGTTTCAATTGGGGTAATGTTTTATTTTGTTTTTTGTGGTCTTGGGGTTTGGTTTCATTTTTGATTTTCAGTTTTTTGTTGTTGGTTTTTGTTGGTTTTTTTTTTCAGGGTCACTGATAAAATACCATAAAAATTCTAACATCATTTTTAGGCATTAAAACACATATTTGGAGAGGAAAAACTGTTGGCTAATTTCCACTGAGGCTCCAATTCTTGTTAGGTGGGGTGAATGGTGTTGATGGTGTTAGCAAAAAGCGGTTTTGACCAGAAAGGTCGGTTCATCTGTGGGCTGGAGCACAGATGAGTTCTTGCACGATGCTGCATATCATCTGCTTTGTTCCTCTTCTCTCTTTCCTGTTGGTAGTTACAGTTCACAGCATGCCCAGTTCTCCACCTTCAAGAATCAGAAGTCATGTGTGTGTAGTTTGGGGCTGTGCAGCCCAGGATGTAGAGGTTGTGTCTTCTTGAGGTCCCCAACCTTGCTTGAAAAAAAAAAATCCAACAATTTTTCCTCTGCTGTATCTATAGTCACCCTTAATAACAATTTATTTTCCTGGAATTTCTTCCAATAATTTCCTCTCAGGTTGAGGTATTCCGTGAGACCCTTTTCAAAAGGGCTAGTATCTGTTCCTTACCCACTTTACAGGAGTGACCATTTGGGAGGTAGGGTAATGGGCAGGCAGAAGAATCCCAAGGGCATGCACAGTGCACAGTGTCTTCCTACTCATGGCACCTGCTTGATACTTCTGAAAAGCATTGTCATTTATCCATTTCATTGTTTGTGTACATGTGCACATGTGTTTGTGAGTACTTGCACATGCTCCTGTGTGTGGGGTAGTGGGTGGTACAGATCTGTGCTCTTACTTATGGATTCCAGAGGTCAACCTTGGGGTTGTTCCATGGGAGCACCCCCTACCTTTGAGGCAAGGTCTCTCATTGGGACTAGGGCTGCTGAATCAACTAGGCTTTTGAGCCAGTGAGCTCCGGGCATCCTCACCAGTATGAGAAATCACAAGGCCATGCCATTATGCCAGGCTTTTTACGATATTGCTGAAGACCAAATTCAGGTTCTTATCCTTGTGTGGCAAGCACTTTACTGTGTCATCTCACCATACTCATCTTTTTAATGAATGACTGAGGAAGTGAAAGCCATGGAAGAGGACCGGATATTACAAAGAAAGTTAGTGATAAGACCAGCCCTGGATGACCCAGGCACCAATGTCGGCAACTAACAACACACACACACACATTAATTTTCTTTACCTCTGTTACCCCAGCTGTAAAATGGGTCTGATGGTAACAGCACATGGCCTCCTCTGCTGTGGTGATCTAATGAGGAAAAAAAAAAACCCTCCACCACCACTCCACCACTCCCCATCCCCTCCACACTCGCTGCATTTTGGGGTCACAAAACATACTGCTTACCATTTCTTAGTCACTGTCCTATACTCAATGCCCAGGGTGGCTTGAAAAGAAGTGATTTGCCATGAAGTGGAATTTCTTGCTAACAGCATAGAGTCAATTAACTTTCCCTCAGAAATACATTCATGAAGAAAATGTCTATTGAAAACAGATGGAGAGAAGTCTGGTCCTTGCCAAGCAAATGGCCACACACCTGCATGGGTCCACCTTCAACTTGTCTAATACCAGACCTTATTCTTCCTCTTCCTTGTATCAAAAGGTTATGGCCTTGATGACCCCCTTTCCAGCAACAATGCATTAAGGATTGCCCAGATTACACAGGTTGCCCGCACTACATTTTCTTGTAAAAACATTTTGTTTACCCAGCATGCTGGTCACAGTGCCTGAGGGGTCAGGAGTTCAAGGGCAGCCTTGGCAACACAGCAAGTTTGAAATCAGGTTATAGGAGACCCTGGACCTAATGGAGGGACAGGGAATTACCAAAGGGACTGAAATTCATTCCGGAATTGCAGGGAGGAAGAGAAATCCACCTAAGAAAACCAAAGGTAGTGTTCTGAAAGGGGGAGGGGCCGTGGTGGTACTGAGAGAGAGGTTTGTTTACTGTTCTTTCTTTGGAGATAGCACGAAGAAACAGCCCTTACATTAAAATATAACTCTTCCCACCTTACCTTCCTGACCTAAGAACTAACTGAGGCCAAGGATGAAACGTGGCCATCTTTGTGTCCACCTTGGTGATCAGCCTTTACAAGGTTTTATAAAAGTAACACATCCCTAGCTGAAGGCATTCACACCCTACTCCCCCAGCTGAATTTTTTTTTTTTTCTTTTTTCTGGACTGGAGTGAGCGGATTACACAGTTGAGCCCAACAGGCAGTTTAGAAGGCGGACTGAAAGTTCCCTGCGGGCAGGAGCCAAATGAATAGTCTCCATGGCCACCTCCTTAGAGCTAGGCATGATGCCGGACATCCCTAGCAGCTAGCAATTATTATGTATCTGCATGAAAAATGGCCATGATTCTGTTCTCAGAGCTCACAATCAGCTTCAAAGTCCAAAATGTCCCGGAGAAGGGCTGGCTGTCTTTCGTTTGCAAGAATTCCTGCCAACCCAGGAGAGACCAATGTCAGTTTCGGATCTACCCCCAACCTCTCTAAAAGGAGCCGTGAAGTGCCTGGTTTCTGGGGTCTGGGGTAGCTGCCCCCCTCACCCCACCCCGCTTCCTGCAGGGACCCCTCAAGCCCGGTGGAGGGGAAGGTGACCAGGAGGGGGAGAGCCAGCCCGCACGTGCAGCGCCCAGGGGAGGAGGCTGGGCCAGCGCAGCGCTTAGTCAGCAGCTGGGCTCGGTTTTGAAACAAAAGCCAATGTCCTCCCTCGGAGTCTGCAGCCGGTCAGTTCCTAGGGGGAAGAAAGCTATGCTGCCCAGCCGGTTAGTGGCCCAACTTACTTTTCCTGAGCCCGGACTGAGGGCCAGCGGATGTTCGGGAATGGGTGGGATGCTGCGGGGAGGGGGCGCGGGGACAGCTCGCACACACCCTGCCCTGCTCTTGCGTTCGCTTGGCCTGAGGCCGGGTTCCCGCAGATACCAGGCACATGCTGGTCCGGACCAAGTACCCCGGAGCCCAGGCCCCACCGGTGTGCATGCAGCCGAGGCACCTTCGCTACCTCGCGTCCCACAGCTCAGACACACCAGGCCCTGGTTTCATGAATGAAATCCAATCGCGTGGTTATAAATAGCCGCCAAGGCTGCTCACGTCACGGTAGAGAGAGGGAGCGATCGGAGGCCGCCACCGCGTAGCTCGCTCCGTGCTGGGACTCAGGGTTCCGCCCGGTGCCCCGCCTGGTCGGGGACGGGGGCGGGAGGAGGGCAGGGCTGGAGGCGACAGCGACCTGGGGACGAGCCCCGTGGCCTGGGCCAGGAGGCGGACGCGGCCGGACGCGGCTGTGCCATGCTGCCTTTGTGCCACGCCGGGCGGGTGGCGCGCGGCGCGCAGGGTCCCCGCGTCCCCGCGAGCACGCGCGGCGGGGGCCGCTGCTGAGCGGCGGAGGGAACCGGGTCTCGCTCGGCTGCAGGGTAGGTGGCCGTGTCGTGCAGAGCCCCAGGGCGTGCAGAGCCCTAGTTCCCGATCGCCCTGCGGGTGGCAGGTGGGGACCCCCGGCCCAAGTGTCCCAGCGATATTTGCTAGAGCGAGCTGATGGGAGGCGGAGGACAGTCTCCTCCCAGGCGCGTGAGCAGAAGAGATACCCGCCCGAGCCGCACCCCTAACTTGTAGCTGTTGAGAACACGTACAACAGGCACTTTAGGAGGCCGGCTGCACAAGGGAGGGTGCTGTCGTGCCCCCGGGAAGGCGCCTTTTCCTCGAAGGACCGTGGCGGGGAACCCGGGACCCGAGAAGCGAGGTGCTCTGTTCCCCTGGGTGCTTGCACTGCCGGGAGCAGTGCTTTTGGGTGCAAGGCGATGCCCCTCGCCCTCCCCCCACCCCATGCCCTGTGTGTAGGGAGTTGTTTGTGAGTTGCTGTGACAACTGGTACATGCTGCCTGTGAGGGGCTTGCACACACCCAAACTTGTGTGTGGGTTTCAGCTTATGGGGTTAACAGTCAGGTATGAGGGAGATGTGCAAAAGAGATCCCACCCACTCACCCCACCCACCCTCAAAAAAACAAGCGGAAGGAAGGCAAAGCTGTGTAAAAATATATCATTCGATCCCTCTGTTGGCGGTGCGGTTTCCATCCCGTATCAAACTACTCAACGGAGGAGCAAAGTCAATATTTAGACTTGGACAAGCCAGAAAGTTAGGAGGGAGAGCCAAGCACAGGGTTCTGACTTGGCTTTGCACATCAGCGCACAAACTGTGCCTTTGGAGCTGACTGTGCTGGGGAGGTCGGGGGGGGGGGGTGCGTTTAGATTGATGCATACACACCTGCACAGAAAACTAGGAAGTCCGGAAAGTAGTGAGCAGAGGAGCCATCCTGACTTTGAACCTCTCAGGCCTGTGTTGGGGAGGGGTTGGGGGGTTGCTGAACACTTCTTGGATACTTAGTTTCATTGGCTCTGGAGTTTCTCCACCCCTCCTGCTGGACTGGCTGCTGTAACAAACATCCAGGAGACTCAAAACCATCCCAAGTTTCCAGGGGCTTTCTGCTTTGGCAGGGTAGGATAGTAAACCATCAACAGGCTCCTAAGTTCGCTTACAAACACTACCTTGAGACTCGTCCGATGATCGTTTGGGCGCCTATGAGAGCTAGTGCTTCCCATACAATAAACTAAAGCTTTTAGACTGTAAAGAACATCTATCTGCTTATTGCTCCACAAGTAGGGTGAGCAGTCAATTGGTAAATTAAACAAGGTTCTCCTGGAGATTCCTGGTCCATATTTGATTGTTAATGGGGGTATGGCTTTGACCCATTCCATCCCAGGGTGGAAGGCTTTGGACCGCCATTGGGGATAGGGACTGTTATCAACAATCTTTTAAGCTTGCCTACTCTTCTCTTCCAAGATTGTGAAGGTCGTGGGCATTTCAAGGCACTGGGCCCTGTGTAATCAAAGAGGCACAGAAACTGGTATCATTGAATTAACACTGTCACAAAAAAAAAAAAAAAGGAGAAACAAGAATTGCTTGCTTTGGGGTTAAGGTGATGTTGTTTTAAAAATGACATTTTGAAAGGAAAATTTCTTACCCCCTTCCTTGGCTTCTGCACCCAAAGTAGTCTGAGAGTTTGTTTTCACTGTGCCTCCCAACGGCTTGCGGCTAAGTGCTTTTTCTGTACCATCCCCAAATACTCAGAAATATACTTTTGTGGACACCATAAAATGTTAACATAGCTATTTCAGGATACACTTGACCCAAAGAAATGCCAGTGTATGCATGGCATCAGCTAAAATTGTAGAGAGAGATAACAAAGCATGCTAAAAATCCACATGCACCCATGGGCTCCTGGCAGGCAGAGAGATTTCAGCAGTGTCTCTGTCTGCTTTAGGTAAGTCCAGCTGCGAGCAGGGACTTCTGCTCTTCATTTCCAGTGAGACAGGTCAGTATCTTAGTGCAAACCCACAAATATAGATGAATGGTGCAGCTGCTGAGGCTGAACGTGGGTTTTGGAACAAGTTTCTTAGTCTGGGTCTTGAAAGAATAGGGTTTTGCTGCTTGCCTTGTTTATTGGAAATGACTTAAGTTCTTTGTTGGTGGAAATCATTCTATTTTCTGTGTGAGGAAGATGGCGCTAACATGAACTTGTACCCCTCACTCCTTTCTGCAGTTTTCTTACCAACTTGAAAATTAAAATGGTACTAGACAGCTGAGGATCTTGGGAATCTGGATATCAGTAATGGAGACAATTCAAATCCATCTTAGCCTTCAGGACATAGAAGTAAGCTTGACAGAATAGTAGTGAACATTTGTTGAGTTTGAGTCAAGATTTGGGTAGTGTTTGCTTCTGTACATTTATGTTTTTATTTTATGCATATGTGTATATTCATATAAATGGGCAAACATTATATGTATATTTCCATATGTATATAAATATACAGATATACACATAATCCCGTGGTGTGCAGCCACTTGATTAATTTTTAAAATTTTACCTTACTCTAAAACATAAACAACTTCTTCAACAGGGAGACTGAGATCAAGAGAGGTTAAGTGATTTGTTTAACCCAGTAACTACAGGTCAGCCAGTGACACTCATGCAAACAACTGTTCCTATAGAACATATTCCACTCCCTTGAGTAAGAGTAGGGAACTTCCTAGTGTGGATCTATTAAAGATAAGAATTTTTATCACTGGCAGGGTGTTGGTGGCAAGAGCCTTTAATCCCAACACTCTTGAGGCAGAGGCAGGCAGATCTCTGTGAGTTCAAGACCAGCCTGGTCTACAAGAATTAGTTCCAGAAGGACAGATTCCAAAGCTACAGAGAAACCCTGACTTGAAAAAAAACAAACAAACAAAAGTTTCCAAGCTGATATAAGAGGCAAGACATTAGGCATTCCCATATGAAAAAGTGGAGAATAAATCATAGTCATGCAGGTCCAAAAACTGATGTGGGGGGAGGGGTCCCACAGAACTTTCATAAGAAATTCAATATTCTTTGAATCCCATGTACAAAGTACAAGTTTTATCTACATAGATGATAAATGGGCATTTGGGAATAGGCAGGACTTAGAATTTCAAACCATCAGAGAATGTACAGTTGTTTTGAGCTGCGAAGTTACAGAACAGAGGCAGAGACACCATCTTGGGAGGGATCACAGATGCAAAGACAGAACTCTGTAGAAAGTCTTTGATAAAAGCACAACAAAGTGACACTGTTGGAGCCTCAAAGTAGAGTACCCATTCAAAATCTCCGAGTGCCTGAAATGTTCTACTCCCAGCAGTGGGTTTGGATACATAGTAGATAAATCCCAACCAAAGTTCTGAAAGAGGCCAGTATCTAAAGTCAAGGATACTTCCCGTTTGCATCTGAATTAACAATCTCCCTTGCCTCTATTTCCATCCTTGCTCTTTTTTAAAAGAATAATTTGTCTCAACAAACAAACAAGCAAAGTAAAAGCCAGGCCTCAGTGGCTTTAACCCCAGGACTCGGGAGGCAGAGGCAGAAGAATCTCTGTGAGTTTGAGGCCAGCCTGGTCTACAGAGGTAGATCCAGGACAGGCTCCAAAGCAATACAGAGAAATCCTGTCTCAAATAATAATAATAAAATAATAATAATAATAGTAATAATAATGATGATGATGATGATTTGTAACAGTTGTTAATCTTTCTTGAGGGAATTTTAAACAGTCATTAACAATGGAGTAGGGAACAGATTATTAAGAAGACCTCTAGATGTACTGACAGCCCCAGCTCACCTAATACCATTGTAAAAGCACATTTAGTAAAGGAGTATTTCTGACCAATTAAAAGGTAGTTACATGCTATGCTATCCTATAAGAACTTGGTCTATAAATTTTATTGTATCCTAGCCCATGACAAGACAGATCATACTCCATGGTTTGCATTGGGGAGATTCCATTACGGGCCAGGACCTCACCATTAACTGATCTATGGCTAGCTGTGATGAATGATATGCCATAAAAAATAATCAATATGACAATCATAAACTTATGATTTATTTAAAGTAGTCAAATTACAGAATGTTGGGGCCAACAAGAACCTTAGAATTAGCATGCTATCTCTAATGATAATTATTTGACAGTCAGCTGTTTATTGTTCCTGTTTTTTGGACATCAGCAGGCTTTGGTTATGGTGTGCAGTTTGTCTCTTTTAAAAAGCTAGAAACATTTAGAATGTTGCTGGCTTTACTTGGTAAACTGATTTATAGAAAACAGACAAACGTGGGCCTGGGAGATGTGTAAAGGGCTTGCTCTACAAAAATGAAGCCCTAAATTATTGGATTCCCAGAAGCTACTTTTAAAAGAAATTAAAAATAAAAAAAAATGCTTGTAATTCCATCGCTGGGGAGGCAGGAACAGATGGATCCCTGGGGCTTGGTGATCAGTCAGCCTAGACCAGCAAATCTCAGCCTAGTGAGAGACACTGTCTGGGAAAAAAAAAAAAAAAAAAAAAAAAAAAAAAAAAAGATGGACAGTGCCTGGGGAACAAGAGCCAGAGGTTCTGTGATCTCCAGCCTTCAAGCTTGCACACACACACACACACACACACACACACACACACACACTCCTCATCTCTCTTTTGGTATTGTAACAACAGAAAGCCTTCCTTTAGCTTCCCATAACTGGTGATTTGAATCTGGTCTTTTTTCTCACCTTCTTTTCTCCACCAAGACTCTCCATCAACCTTACAACACTAAAAACTTGGAGAAGGAATTTGAAATAAGTTATAAATCGCTAAGGAGGAAAAAAAATCATAGGGGATAAAGTATGGAAATGGTAGGAAATATAGGGGAGGGGAAAAAAGCTTGGAGGGTAGCAGGTGATGGTGCTCAAATGGACAGAAGAGCTACAGATTGCTTATCTGGGGATTGTTCTAGTTTGTAAAGCTCATAGTCAGTGACTAACATAAAATCAGTCACTTCTCTCAGCCCCTTCGTCCCTAGGCACCTTGGGGAAGAACTTGGGAAATGGGCCAGTCAAGACATGGGAAATAAAGGGTGAGCATAGCCTTGGTCTTCCCAGACATCCGTGTCTTCAGGTATTCCTTTTATCAGTGATTCAGACACATCGGCATGACACAGTGAACTGCCAGGAGGTCTAGACAGAGCAATTACACTTCTCTACCCCAGACTTGAGTTTATTTCTTGAGCAATGGCAAGTTCCCAGAGCTGATGCGTTTTGGTCTTAGGCTCTATCTGTCTGTGGAGAAATTTCCTTTGAATTCTTAGCCAGCCATAAGGCAAACCAGCCATTTCTGGTTTATAGCTGGTTATAGCTTGGGCCCCAGCTATAACAACCACTAGGACTCCTTCCCTTCTTCCAAAATGTCAGGCATTGACTGCTCTATGATTGATATTCATTATCAATTCCAATTTTACAATTGGAAGCAAAGCAGGAGGGGAGAGAAAGACAGATATTAAGAGACATTCAGTCAAGGAGCTAATAGGAAATAGAGCTTGGATTGACTGGACTTTAGTCTGACCAAGGATTTGAAGGCTTTCTTAATGAACTCTTGGAAATGGGTACCTTAACCTATTTCATTCCAGGTTACTCTTGCAAGGGGAGAAACTCAGGGGCTAATGACACCATCTATGTGTAATACAACTAAAAAATACAGAATTTGAGCTACCTGGCCATCTTGCCTATACTAATCTGCTGACCATGGGTCATTTCTAATGGATGTTGATGGAAGTAGCAGACATAAACACTCAAGTAAATGAGAGTTGAATCATGGAGTCAGGAAAGCCCTATAAGGTCACTTGCTTCAGCCTCCCTCTGGTGACAAAGCCCTGGCTGGCACCAGTGAAGAGATGTAACTTGACCACTCTCATAGTTAATAAGTGACTTCTCTTGAACTCAGCCCAGGTCTCCCAATCCAACCCAGGCTTCCATCCCGTTACATAACACCACCTAGAAAAGTGCCAAGGCTTCTGAACTCTCCACCTCTGCCACAGTTCCAAATAGTGAGTCCAAAATACACACACAACCTAAGTCATGTTCAGTAAATGGTGATAAGAGAGTGCCCGAGGGATACTGATAGGGCGGGCACTAGGAGCAGCCCTCCTTATCAGCAGAGATGTCAACACAGAGCGTTCCTTTTTATCCTCATCAGAACATAACTCTCAAAGCTCTGATCCTGTCCAGGCCGTCTCAGCCGAGCCACCCATCCAGAGCTTTGTAACTTTGTCGCGCGACTCTGGCTGCTACTAGCTGGGGACTGTGGGTGAAATAGGTTTCAGACTTCACTCTCCTTGCCCGAAAATGGCAATGGTATAGCCTTGTCCTGCGGATAATGGGGATGTCCTGAAATCACAGGTACAGACAGCATGGTGGGTGTTCACCAAGGTCAGTTGTCTTCTTGGCCTTTCTGGAATAGCTCAACAGGAAGCACTATAATATATTTGGTTAGTCATATCATTTTGTAAATAAGTTTACTGGTGCCATTGTATACTGGTGTTGTAAGAATAGTTAGTTACCTATGGTAACATTTTCGTAAAGTCCAGGCGAGTGTTCTCTCTCTCTTTCTCTGTGTCTGTCTCTCCCTCTCTATCCTTCTCTCCCTCTCTCTTTCTCCTTTCTCCCTCTCTCTCTTTCTCTCTCTCTCTGTGTGTGTGTGTGTGTGTGTGTGTGTGTCCCACACCTCTCTCTCCCACCTGTCTCCTGGTTTCCACAGCATACCCACAATTGCATTTCTTTCTCCTGTAGTCTTGAATCATGAGAGCTTGCATAAACTCTTACATCGTTTTAGACTAATACCCAGCTCATCTTGAAGATCTGGGTCTCTCATTCCCTTCCAAACACTGCTTGGTTCTAACATATTTTTCCCATAGACTTTGCATCTCCAAATGACTGCAATGTTTCCAACCAAGTAACAAGGTATATATCCAGAGATGGTCATTGCCCGCAGAAAACTTTTGCT